GTTCTTGGTGCCTTATAGGAGAAGGAGAAGTTCATCCTTATGGATTATTGTGGCTAGAGCTTGGAGATCTAGGACTTATATCATCTTTCCAAGCTTCTGGAGGTATAAAGTTTCAAACTTTATGGCTCTTTAGTGTAGATCTAGTTTTAGGTTATGTTTTGAGCATGTTTTGGTCCCATGGATTGGATCTTGTGAGTATAAGTTACTCCAAAAACTTTGGGCCTCATTTCTAGTCATTTTTGAGGTCATTAAGTCATAAAAATTGAATCTTCATGGGTATAACTCTTCTATGCATGAGTTAGTGTTCCTTTGGTGAAGTTATGAATCTAGGACTCCATTAAGCCATGCAAAGTCATAAATTAAGGAAAATTATGAATTAAGACGTCCCTTAGAGTCAAATATGAGAGTTGGGCATTAGGTCTTCAGGTATTAAGAGCTTAGAAAGTTGGTTTGGCCTCAACTAGAGTAGGTTGGTCGTACCTCTCGGGTATGCTACGCGTAATGGGTCTCGACTGACTTCCTTTTCGGTGATCAGCCAGTACACGGGGCATATGTGTGGAGTACACTAGTCATAATCCCAGATGCATATTTGGTCCCTTTTTGGGCCTTGGGTTGGGCCATGATTTTTGGGTCAAATATGGGAAGGGTAAAGGGGATCTTTTACACTTATTAAGTTAGAATAAGAATTTGACCCTTGGTAATGGGTTATTACCTTAATTATTGATCAAGAATGATTTTGGATATGCTTAGTGTTACGAGCCCTTGTACCAGCCTTGTGCGTGTGATTCAGTTATCTTCAATTGGAGGTGAGTCTCTTCAGTGTACTTGTGGGTTGAAGGCACCAATGTTGGCCCACTAGGAGGAGTTATATAGAATGCTAGCTGTCTTTGTGACTCTTGCATTGTGTGTTGGGCTGGGCCCATTAGCATACGTATAGGGTTGGGCCCATTTGCATGAGTGGGTTGGGCCCATTGTATGTCGGGATAGGCTCATTTGTATGTAGGGCGAGCCCATTGATTAGGAAGGGTTAGGCCTATTATTATGGGTTGGGTCTAATGTATGGGTTAGGCCCAATGATATGTATGGTATGTGGTATTTTAAGGAACTCACTAAGTTTTGTGCTTACAATTATGTGTTTATGGTTTCAGGTAATTCTGGTTGCAAAGGGAAGGACTTGACGTGACTGCACAACATCCCCCAACGAATTCCGGATTGGCTATTTATGACTTATACTCTGATGATAAAATATTTAATTACTGTAACTGGTTTTGGAACAACTCAATTGTATGGCTTAAGTGTTTTTAAAATGAAAATTTTACTTTGAATTTTTTGGACGTTAAAGGACCTCCTGTCACTCATCCGACACTCTACAAGAGTCTTGTAGGGGCTCTTCAACAACTTAGTTTCACAACACTTGGCATCACTTATGCGGTTCAGTAGGCTTGCATTTACATGCATGCTCCTCGAGAGCCTAACTTCACCGCTCTCAAGCGCATTTTGCGCTATATTCGTGGTACTATTGATCATGGCCTACAACTTTTTGCTTCCCAATCTTGTGGTCTGATTGCTTACTCTGATGCCGATTGGGCTGGCTGCCCCTCTACACGCCGCTCGACTTCTGGTTACTGTGTTTTCATGGGTCAAAACCTTCTCTCTTGGTCTTCCAAGAGACAGGGTACCATTTCCAGGTCCCGTGTCGAGGCTGAATATCAGCGCATTGCAAACGCGGTTGTTGAGAACTGTTGGATGTGCAACCTGCTTCATGAGCTTCACTATCCACCACTTTCTACTGCGCTTGTATACTGTGATAACATTAGTGCCGTTTACTTGTCCAACATTCCAGTTCAACATCAACACACAAAACACATAGAGATCGACATTCATTTTGTGTGAGACAAAGTCGCTATAGGTCAGATTTGTGTATTACATGTCCTATCCTCGTCTCATTATGCTAATATCTTCACCAAAGGGCTCCCTTCGACTTTGTTTCTTGACTTCAGATCCAGTCTGAACGTCCGTTCTAGACCTCCCGTTCTGACTGCGCGGGGGGGGGGGGGGGGGGGGGGGATGTTAGTCGTATATATGTTTTGTGTATAGTACTTTTATGTCGTAGTATTTTTCATTGTGTGACTCATGTATTATTAGCCCACATTCTTAGACCTTATCATTTTTGTATATATATATATATATATATATATATATATATATATATATATATATATATATATATATATATATATATATATATATATATATATATATATATATATATATATATATATATATATATATTTGGTGGAATAATATTATTCAGTCAAGGGAAACCATTTGTCAAGGGGATATGAAAGATCTGAAAGTATTTTCTATGAATCTAAAGCACCCAAAGTTGTGTGTACAAGTGTGCCTATATGTGTTCACGCACAAGCAACTGAGCATGAACGTGCATATGCAATTTGTTATACTTTTTCTTTAGTCTTATGTAATATAAATTAATATCAATCAAATGTTATTTACCAAATGGTTTATGGACAATTGGTAGTAGCGGGTAAATTGTAAATGTGTCATTGGTTGAGGATTATGTGATGGACAAATATGTAGATTTAAGACTAAGATTAGGGTTGTGTGGGTTAACATTTTTTTTAAGTAAAATGTCATCTGAAAAACTAGTTTAACAGTAATATTGAGTTATATAGGGACTATGTTGGTTTTTTCCGGTTTGGTATAGGGCAAATTGGTCAGTATATCAATATTAAGATGTGAGGGGTTAGATATAACGATTCAAGGATGAAAATCGCAACAAAATCCAAAATTGGAGTGAAACCTTTTATGTGGGTCACTCTAAAGTTTACTTAAGTAAATTCTAATGAATTTTGGAATCATGTTTTTATTTATGTTGTACTTCAAGTATTGGATAATACAAAGACATCCCAAGAAACCACAAATATCTTACATTATGAACATTATTTACAAGGAAAATAACATAAACCTGCATTTATAAGTACATGGGAACCACCCATTTTATCCTCAAACTCACCAGCTTACTCTTTCAAGAAGAGCGACTATGGTAATAATGAGATATAATGAGTAATTACCCACATTTGTTTCTACAAAAAGAAATATATCAAACTACAAGAAGAAAAGAGAGTAAACAGGTTTTATGCTCATCATGCAGACCCCATTAATGATTTGTCAATGATTTCTTGACTAAACCTCCAAACATGATGAAGCCCCACAAGAAGTTCTGTAATTGCAATTTCACTTGTTGCTTGATCTGCATAATGTAATGTCTGAACAAGAAGCACTTGTCCCTTTGAACCCATAGGTTGCTTCTCAAAATTTCTCTCAGAATACCATTTTATCATGTTATGAGCAAGTGGAGATAACCAATCAAGAATCCTTTTCAATGATGATCTCCAATCTGATGCAACACGATGATCAATTTTTTTTGAGGAAAGAAAAAGTTTTTGTCTTAATGAGTTTTTGATACCTGTGGTCAACATATCATACAAGTCTTCTCTTGCATCGGGTCTCAAATAACGAGGAGACATCGCTAAATTCTCAATAAATATGATAATATTTGCATAACGTAAAGCTAAAGCATTGTCACCAAGGGTCGGTTCTTGACCTTTCAACAATCTTTTAGCTTTCTTGATTGGGTCAAAAGCGTCATTTTGAAAAATACCTTTGACCCTGATGGAATTAGGGTTATAACTTCTTGACGTCGTGCATCCAATATGAGCCGGTTTTTGTGATTTAATTGATGGGTATCTTGCACAGATGATAGGAGAGTAACAAGTTTGAGGATTTGGTGTATGTCTAAGATTTGACATGGATCTACTTGAAGAAGTTTCAGATGGGTAGACCGAAGCTCCTGCAAGGGTAGAAATGGAATACTTGCGAACAAAACAACCATCTCTTCCCATTTCGGTTGTAATTCCGAAAACGACCTTGATCCTTTCGACTATTGTGAAAAGAGATCTAAGCAATAGTCGGACAATATAGTCAAAGGTCCGAACCCATGGTGACATGTCACGTAACCCATTTACTTCCTCACGTTGCCACATCACCTTCTGGTGGAACTCAAGAAGTTGACTTTGATTGACACCGTTTGACTGCATTTTTTTTAGTCTGGTTTCTAAATCAGACAATATTTCAAGTTCTTCATGCAACTGTGACATAACATTAGCAAATTTCTTCATCTTTTTAACCCTTTTCTCCATTTTCTTCAACCTATATTCCCATCCACACCATTTGAGATTAATCTCAAATGGGTTGTGGAAAACATGGTCAAGATTATGATACATGGGGTCCACACACTTCTTTCCAAGCCTAGCCACTGAGATTGATACACCCTTTAAGTTATCAATGATTTCTGATAGGGCAAGATCGATAAGGTAAGAATGATCATCTGAAATAAGTGTACGGATGCCAAGTGAATATCTGAGTTCTTCTTTTAGTCTTGACACGTGTCTGTCAGTTAGGCAGTGCCATAAATTTGCTACTTTACACATCAATCTTGAGACTTCGAATGATAAGATTCCAATCATTGGGTTTTCAGCCTCCAATCCCTTGTTTTTATGTGAAGTCTTGAGAATTGTAAACCAAGATGAGTCGTTCATTTTCTTGATTTCTAAAGAAATACGTGATGATGATGATGATGATGATATATGCTCACTAGTTCTGTTACAAAAACAATAATAAAAATCAATAATTGGTAACGAAGACCATGGGTTAAACACCGCATAACAAAAAATCTTTGCAATTAGCTGAGGAATTCAAGATCACTGTTACTCTAACACATTTCATATGTTCCTTTTATTGTTCCTGTAATTTGCAATTGATAAATCAATTCCCCTCGAGATTGGTGAACGGAATAAATTGCAAAGAGTGGTTTTCACGAAACAATTAAGCAAGAATACAACTAATTTCATATCAATACTAAGCTTCAAACACTTTTTTTCATTTGTTAGCCCATTAAGTACTACAACTAAGGGAACAATTGTGTGCAACAGACTCGAAACAGTTTTGGCACTGAAAGTGGAAGGAATAGAATCAAACACATAGAACGTATAATCATGTTCTCCGATTAAGACCAACATACAGATTTAATGCAGAAAACTAACATCAAATTTTCTGCATTTAAAAACTCACCAAGAATACCCAAAGCCAATCGAAAGAGCATTGACAGACAAATGTTTGAGGTAGAGTTTTTATGGCAGTTATGGACATTTTGTCTAGAGAAAATCGGGAAATCCGAAGGGTTGATTCTTGGATGCAGCAAGTAGCCACTTCGTGCCAAACTATGTAGGAAAGGTGTTGAATTTTGGAAGGTGACCTATGGATTGCGTTATTTGTTCAGAAATATACAATAACAAGGGATGAAAATCCACAACTGTTCCTTGGTTTCAACAAGATTGCTACGTCAGATATGCTGTGGTATCCCACAAAGTAAAACGAAATTTCTCATCTTGTCTACTACGATAAATCTCCCAATTTAATATATAGTGTTTTTAAAAAAAAAAAGACGGGAAAATTTACATTAACTTTTTTTTTTTTTTTTTTTTTTAAATTATTATTATTATTTATCATTTTGCTGATTATCAAACATAAATTAATAATTCCAATAAAATGATAAACTGTTATTCACTAAAATTATATAAAAAAAAAAAACAATATTTCAAGATATTCATATCTTTTGGGGATCATGACCATTAATCCCGCAAAAAACAGCCACACAATTTGCGTGAACTATATTTTCTAAATACTTATGCCGTGGTTATCTTGATGTATCAACTACTTGTTCCGCTAAATAGTAGAGTTGATTAATGAAAATGGCGATAACAGATTTTTGGTAACGTATAATTGAACAAGTTAACATATAATACACATAAAAAATAAATAACATAAAAGAGTATTTAAAAGAATGTGTTTCTATAACTAATTAAGAGGTATATTTGGAAAATTTTAAAAAAAGCTACTCTATGTAGCTTTTTAAAAAGCTAGCTGATAAGCTACTTTTTGGCTTACCAAACATGACAATTTAAAAAAAAAAGCTCGAAAAATAAGATAGCTTATCAGCTAGCTGTGGTGCGCCAAACACAACCTTAGTCACTTAAGTTGTTTTGTGGCTTTATGAGAGAACCAAGTTTTGGGCAACCTGTCCTTTTAGTCTTTTTACTTGTTTTAGCTAGTTTAGGTTACAAAACTTGGGGCCCACCCATCTCTCTCTCTCAATATATATATATATATATATATATATATATATATATATATATATATATATATATATATATATATATATATATATACACACACACACACACACACTTTCGCTTCTTCAAACCCTATATCCTTTTTCCTTTTTCTTCATAAAAAGCGTTTGAAGGTGGTGCTCGATGGTAACTCCGATGGAGGATGGTTTCGGTTGTGGTGTGGCAGAGGTGGTGGTGTTCTGAACCCCAGATCAATTTTCCTTTTCACATTAACACAACCCTCTATCTTCTTCTATTCTTCTTTATTGTTGACGGTAGTGGTTCCTGCTAAGCAGATGTTTTATGGGGTTGTGGCTCTCGGAAATGGTGGTGTATATGCGGTTGTGGCTCTCGGAAATGGTGATGTATATTGTGGTTGTGATGAAGGTTTAGTGGTGGTATGCGATTGTTGAAAGTGGTCGACGCAGGTGGCGGTCGGTGTGGGTGGTTGGTTTTTGTGGTTTACAGAGGCAGTAGGAGCGGTGGTGTATGATAGTGGATATGGATGTCTAGGGATGCAACGAGTTTGGTTTTCGTTGGCTATGAATTTATGCAGTGGTAATTGTTGTTTCATAGTGAAGGTATGGTTCTGCCGGTAGAAAATAAGATCAGTGATGTTAAGGCTTTGGGTCGTTGTTTCATTTTTCCAAGAGATTCATACCCTTGTTCATGCGTTGGTCCTCAGGTCGAAAATGGTGTTCTTTTTTATTGTGTTATCTTTTACGATAATGCTACCTCTGCCTCTGGTGCCTCCGATTAATCTTGTAGACCCTTCTCCACTCTTGTTTGTCTCGTCTTTCTCTTTTCGAATCTGATCCAAGTTTAAATCATAGGTTATTGTATATGATTTATGAGTTGATTCATATGTTAAGTATGTTAATTTAATGCTCTGGAAACCATTAAATCCATCTTGAAATCGGTTTTAATGTGTGTATGCTTGTTTGTTTTTCTATAGTATAGAAGAAAAGGAAAAGACGAAGAAAGAGAGAGAGAGAGAGAGAGAGAGAGAGAGAGAGAGAGAGAGAGAGAGAGAGAGAGATTGGGGTGTTGTGGTCCCTTTTTATTTTTTTAATTGTTAAAATATAAAAGTTAGTGAGTTGGCATAAGTGGTAACCGGGTTACCCATTGATTTTCTCAAAAAGGACATATTGGACCTGACAAAATCAACTTTATTCCCTTAAAAGACACGGAAATAACATAAGGGACTAAATGGGTCAACCCTAGAAAGTTTATAGGTTATATGTGTTGTTTTTGCTTAATATTTGAATGAATCAAAATTTAGGTTTGACAAGATAGATGTATCTGATAAAGAAGAGCCACTAGAAATGAATATAGGAGAAGATGGAAGAACCACTAGAAATGAATATAGGAGAAGATGGACAGAAGGTAGTTTGTTGACATGTTTGTTCATTGGTAGTTATTATACAAGTTTTGAACGTATGCATCATTGTGCATTGATCAAGATATAATTCAAATGTAAGTGTGGTTAATTCATAATCTCCATATATATAAACAAAACAAATATACCACACAAACTCGTCACATTAATTCAAAGTTTACAATAACGATGTCAATGTGATACAATATAAATACTTGCATTGGAAGTGAGTGCTTAATAAATAACCTTTTAAATTACACAAATTATTCGTGATTTGCATTAATAGTCGCAGGCAAAATGAACGCTTAAATAAATAATCTTACAACCAATGAGAATGATTAGTGTGTACATGTTGCCTTTTGAAGCCCATCTAAATGTTGACCGTTATGAGGTAGTACTCACGAGGTCTTGACAAGGTTTTTCCTTTTTCACTTTATATTCTTGAAGAAGGAGGTTTATATCTTCTTTATTATAGCATCAGTTTTCTTGAACGAATCGATATAGGGTTTCAGAGGGTTAAAAGGTTAGATTTCTTTTTCGGCCATGACATGGTGAAGCCTCACCACGACGTGGCAATAGGCTTTTGGGCCGTGGGAATATAATGACCCACCACGACGTGGTGGCGACTGTTGGAGAAAACGCTAAAGTTTAGGGGCTGATCCCTATTTAAACTCCTTAACCTCTCATAGCCTCCCTCTTATCAGCCTCCATCTTTCCAAATAGTCCATTGAAAACCCTAGATCTATTGTGTGAGTTTTTGGCTTCTAAGTGTTTGTGTTTGGTGCTTGTGAAGGAAGAAGGTGGTCGAATATCATATTGAGAGTCCAAAGCAACTTAGGTCCAGAAGTTTATCTTCCTCAAGCATCTCAAGAAGGTATAAAGTCTTCACCTTGATGGGTTAGTTGATAGATCTATGGATTTTGTCCACTTTTCTCTATGCCTTGTTGTTTTGGAAGGTTGAATCTCATAATATGGATCTCTAAGCCATTTTGAGCAATTGGCTCTTTGGATCTGATATAGATTTGAGTTTGAGGCCATGCATGGAATCTTGGCCCTTTTGACCTAATTTGACAAAACAAGAGTTCAAGACATGCATTGGACATACATGTCTGGAAAGCATCGATTTTTATGATGTGTTTGGTGTTGGAAACTCTTATGGAGCTTTTGAGCAAGTAATCTTAAGGATTGAGTGGATATTGCTTAAGTTATGTGATTTTTTAGACCTAAAAGTTGAGATCTATGCACTTTGGAGGGTTTTATTGGATAAAGTTGGAAACTTTTTCCATCTAGACCCTATTTTGGACCATATATGAGTTGGAGACCCCTTTTAGATTGAAGGAAATGGCTAAATACGTTAAGCTGCTAGAAATTCAGTTACCACAACGGGGTAAGGCCACCACGACGTGGTGACGGGGTGGTTCACGACTGTTTTGTCGTATTAAACACCACGATGTGGTATAAGGGTGATGGGTTTGGAGCATTCTAACACTTCCTAAGTGTACATGCAACCCTAATAACCTTGGATCTATGTTTATCTAATTATCATGCAAAGTTGAATTCCAAGGCTATATTCCTATCTAGCATACATGGGGAACAATTTTTAACTTGAATGATAGATAGAATAACTTACCTTGTTGTTGCTTATGTTCCTTGAAACCTTGTGAGCCTAGCACCCCAAGTGTGATGCCTTAAATGCTTCACACAACACCAAATGCTCTTGGAAAGACTTTTGAGAGAATGCACACTACTAGAAATCATCCTAGCCCTCTTGTTTCATATGTGTATGTAGCCGATTTTGGTGGAGAATGGGATCCTTATATAGTGTTGACACATCTAGGGTTACACCATGTAAACCCTAATGTGTCATGACTCTTCATTTCCATGACCCATGGGTTTGTAACTCCCATGGAGCATCCTATGGGTGAAACCCAACTTGATAATCCATGGAGCCTTTTAGCCCACTATACAAGATATGGATGATTTACATAATCAACCCATATATTTAATTAGTTATCTTTTGATCACTTAATTAATTCTAAATTAATTCTTGATCAAACTAATCAAATAATATTATTAATATATTAGAACTTATAATATATTAATAATCTCCAAGTGTTATTTCTCTCATTTAGTCTATCCAATTGCATGGTGCCATGCAACCCAAATGGACCATGCCGGGTCGGGTCAAGTACATTGTAACACCCAAAGTTTCAAAGGCCAAGAAGGGAAAGAAAGGCCCTAATTTAAGGGCCGACTCGGCGAGTCCAAGGAAGGACTCGGCGAGTCCGAGCGGGATCCGGGTCGAGGTGTAAGCGACCGACTCGGCGAGTCGGTCAAGGTGACTCGGCGAGTCAGGTCTGTGCGTGGAAAACCCTAAATTCGGGACTTGGGGCCTATATAAATGTCTTAATCTTCTTCCTAGGGTTCCTTACTGCCTCTTTAGCCCTGGATATCAAACCCTAGCCGTCATATCTCCTAGTTGATCCTTGGAAGGTGCATTAAAGCTTGGAAAAGGAAGAAGGAACTTGGAGGAGCAAGAAGGAGCTATAGATCTGGGATTGTGAGTTCATTCTGAGCACTTGGAGGTAATAAACTAGTTCCTGGACCCTTTTTGCACCTAGATCTATGTGTGGTTATTGGGGCTCTTTTGCCATAATGTTATTATTTTGAGTTAGAAGCCGGATCTGGAGTTGCTACTTCAGATTCAAGTGTTTTAGGGCCTGGAGAAGCATAAAGTATCAGCCACTGAGTCGATTTTGAAGTCCCTTGGCCTTACACCCTAGTTAATGGCATATCTTGCCTAGATCTCCTTCTCTACACGTAAAGTTTGCAACTT